ACTGACCACAAGACGTAGTTGGGTGTCTTGTCAATAGCTGTGCAAATGGCCTTCATATCTTCAGCACTCGGCGAGAAGACCGTACCGAATGCGATGAACAAAACACTTTCATCAGCAAACTGGTTCAGCCACTCCAGATCGCTGTCTCCATCAACAAGACCGCAGCCGATCCGAGCGTCATAGCGAATGACGGGACCGACACTGAGCAGGCCGGTAATCGACTGCTTGATGTTCCTTTAGCAACTCCGGACGATAAAACGCATCAACGTCGTTGCAGACGAAGCCCTTCTTCGCGCCACGTTGATGATAAAGCTGCAACATCAGCTTCGTGCACTTCTCAAGCGCGGGTATGCCCTTGAACCTGATCAACTGGTCCGGTTTGTAAGAACCTAGCCCCGGCAACTCCACTTGCTTCATCTCCTCCACCTTGGCCACGGACAAGAAGTTATCAAAGGCTCCGATCACGATGCAAGGTGAAGGACAGAAAGTCCAGCACTGAGCCTCGAAGAACCTGGTCACAGGCACATCCGCAAGCGTTATAAAATCACCAAATACGGCAATTGGCCGTACCTTTCCCCTAGCCGTACCTTTCCCCGGTTGCAGTATACACCTTCGTAGTACTCCACTACAATCTTGTACCACAAATTATGCTGCCAATGCAGGTCGGAATACATCTTTTCAACCTTGTCACCCAACGCCTCAATGGAAATCAGCTCCTATTTCATCTCCTCCATAACCAACCTCACCTCCGGCGCTTGGGGAACCTCATCCGGACGCGGCATCAGCCGCCGGCAACACTCGGCTGGTTACCGCCTTGGCACGCTTTGTCATCTCGTCTCTGAACCCGATACACCCCGAACGAACAAGGTAGCGGAATAGCCATGAGCACACAAACATGCGTGGAACTGAAGACTGGGATTTATGTGGACCAAGTTACAAACGTCTGCCTACACGGTGAACATAAAACTAGAGATTAAAATCGCCACCACCTCACCGGGACCGGTGTCGTACTCTCCTTCACATTTTCGCCCGTGCTCTCGCTTCCGTAATCACTCTCACCGGAAGGCACACGACGACACAGCGGCTGCTCCCACTTCTTTTTAACTGAACTCTGACCAGCCCTGTTGTGTCGAACTGGTCGGGTTCCTACCCTACCAACGACGTGTATTAATCAACACCCTTAGCCGGCGGGCGACCCATGCCACCTGGAGACTGACATTGCCCACGGACATACTGTTATGTCGAACAGGTCCGCTACTGACGTGGTGCTGCCTGCGTCGTACGAGACATAACAACTGAAAGCCGATCTTGCCCGCTGACACACCAACACGCCACCCAGCCCCGCAAGAAGATGTGAGCAGTCTGCGCAGCTGTGACCGTGCTCTAGCTGCATGGGTCCTGCGTGATCCAGGCTTACTGTGTCCATCGCGCTCGGATTCTCCAGACTCCCCTTCGGCACGTTGTGCGTCAGCCGAGCTCTCGTTCGAGTACCACTTTCGCTCTCAGTCGCTCCGGGACGTAGACCTTGCCAGTCACGGCCTGCCGCCACCACTTGCCATCCTTCTTCACTCCAGGCACTCCTTGCGGCTCCAGCTGCCGACTCTCTCATAAAGTCCTCTTCCGACACCTGATGCCTCCAAAGCAGTTGGCTCACATGACCTATCACTCTACCGCCCAAAGCCATTGCTTCGATCTTTGCGTCGCACTCTTCGTCTTCGCTGCGTACCGCGACAACCTGGCCACCATGTTGTTCTTCTCTCCCGACAGGAACTCTAAAGTGAAGTTGAACCTGCTGAGCGCCAGCGCCCAGCGAAAACACCTTCCCTTTGTCTACTCCCACAAGGTAGCGTAGGTTGGCGTGATCTGTGCGTCCCGTGAAATGATGGAGCGCTACGTAGTCGCACCACTTCTCTACAGCCCACTTGACGGCGAAGAGCTCTATCTCTCTCGTATCCCACTTTCNCTCCGCTTCGGTGAAC